TCTGGATTCCAGGTCTGTTTTAATTCCTGTTCTGGGAAGTATATAAACTAAATGTTCCTGTTCTGGGTTGCTGTATAAGTACTCCACAATTTGTTTTGGTTGTATTTACCGAAAGCATGCCAGAGACCATCCCAAAAGCAGGAAATGAACTATAGCGAAAGGCATTCTGGGTAAATACAACCAAAACAAACACGTCTCGCATTAGCAGGAGAAATAGCTTGTGATCTTTTGACAAAAGAGGCCAAAAGACCAGAGACAAATTTTACAGTTGCTAAATTATCACTCAATTTCTGTTAACATTTCGTGAAGAAGGAAGTTGCGCTCTGTGTCGTCTCTTGTTTCTTTTTGGTAGTTCTTGGTGCAGCGCCACCACAGGCGACAGTGTAAACACAGTTTACTACAGTGCCGTGTGGACACGAACCGCACCAGCTGCAAACATAACAGATGTTGCCATTTTGGCTTGATGTTGAACAAGAACAACAGGTTCTTGCTGTATTTGTGTGGTTTCTCTCTGGGTACTCCGGCTTCCTCCCACAGCATAAACACATTCTCTGTTTGGGTTTGTTTTGGCCGTTTATCTTTTGTGTCTCAGGGTTATGCCCTTGTTACCAAAGACTGATGGGTACTGGCACCAACACTCACGTAACCCTATAAAGACTGAGCAAAAATGGATTGTTGGATAATCAACTTTTACTCTTTATTAGCCTAAATGTTAGACATTACAACCTGCCCCTATTGTGCTTAATCAACCTACCCCTGTCCTACCAACCTAAATTGAGTTGTTTGTACAGTGTAGTGCTCTATCCGTCCTGGTGCAGGTTAGGATGCTTTTTAATGAGACATGAAATAACGAAGCACAGCAGCTTTGTAAAACACTGCCAAATTTGACTAAAATTCTGCAGGGAACCACTTATTTTGGCAGTGATGCAACACAGCTTAGCTCCAGCAGCGATGTCAACGTTTTATGTACTCTCATCTCCATCACTTAGAGCTCAGAAGACACTGAAAGGATATTAATTTGGATCCCACCTAACCTAAAATAAATGGATTGTGTCTGTGAGCCTCGCAGGCCAAACCATCAATTACAAGAATCATAGAAGGGTCAAAGTTTTAAATATAAGATCATCGCTTCCTTATTATAGCAAACCTTTTATAAAGTAATCTGCTTCACCTCTTCACTGGCTGCTATTTTTAATCACTTAAAGCACTTGTCAGAACTGTCTGCTCGGATTAATGATCACTAATGTCGGCTGAGCAGACACTTTGGGTTCACAGCTGTGGGTAGTGCTCCGACGCAGCGTCGTCATAAGCCTGAATTGATGAGCTCAATCATTTCCTAAAGGCACTCAGAAATGTCCGGTCTCCATTTCAGGAAAAAAAAAAAAAAAGAAAGCTCAATCAACTCAGATGACTTTTGTGGACAACTATGACTGAGAAATTTATCACAGCAGAAGAGCGAAACAGCGATGTCACCAAAGAACGCAAGCGGTAATGGACGTCTGAGCCGTCACGGTGCCAAACCTTAAGGCTTTGGACATTGGTTTTATGGTACATTGGTCTATTATTAAAAACCGCAATTTCCCATAGGATTTCCTTTCCATTAGCAGAGGGTCAGTCTTTGCAGAAGAAACATGGAAGAGCTCAGAGATGCAGAACGGACATAAAGCAGGACAGAGTGAGAATCTGTTCAAGACAAATCAGCAGTAATGTGTGACAGAAGTGATAAAAGAATGAAGAATATAACCGGTACAGTGTTTATTCAATGCTTTGAAAAGGATTCATTACTTTTGAACATTGTGTCACATCACAGAAACAAGCACCAGTGTACATTATTGGAATTTTATGGGATAAACCAACTTAAAGTAGAGGATAAATAGAAGAAACACATTTGAATTTAGTACCTCTGAGTTAATATTTGGTTTTACTAACTTAACATGGATTATGTTGGAGTGTTTTCATACCAGTTTTGTACATCTAGAAACTGAAATTGTTGGACATTTTTCTTAACAAAATAGTTTAAAGGTCAGATTAGTTGGGGTGCGTGTGAACATAAACCTCCAAGGTTTGCCTCTTATCCTCTAGTGCCGGTCCAGACTCTTACCACACAGATGAGCGGTCATCTGAAGCACTTCATTGTCGCTCTGGCTGAATGTTTGTTGTCGTTGTCCTGCTGAAGGTGAACATTTGCCACAGTCTAGTAGCTTTTACGCAACAGGTTCATAACTTTTAGCCAAAAGGTTCACCAAAATTATATATACATCTTTAAGTTTTTTTTTTACACATTTTGATTCCATTTTGTCCACATTTTTACATTCAGATCTGTTCAACAATTGCAAAAAGAGTCTTTTGTGCATTTTCCTTGTCTAAAAATTAATTTTGGGTGTATAATCTACTAGAATGATTGTTACCTCATCATCCCATTGAAAACAGCTACACATAGCTATGTTTATTGGATGTACTAAGGTCTCCTTTGGACTTGATTTATTTAGTTTTATTTGTTGTCAAATTCAACCAAAGTCTCCCTTTATTTTAATTTTAGGAGTATTTATTTAACATTCTCATCAGGGAAAACCTAAATGAAGCAATTTTACTGGAGGCCCACATTTTAACATTATTGATAAAAATCCCATGATGCAGCAAAGTATTCTTCGTGACGCATTTTGCCCACATGCCTCACGTTGGACAGCCCTGCTTTAGCAAATCTTCCAGGATGCCCTGTGTTTAGCTCCATCAGCTTTGGCCAAATCCTCAGTTCTTGCTGAATAAAATTAGTTCTATATGCAGCCACCACCATGCTTCAAAGTGGGGATGGTGTGTTCAGGAAAAAGTGTAGTGACTGCTTTCTACTAAATGTAGCAGTAAGCCAAGAACTTTTTCATCTCCTTGTCTGGATAGAGAACTTTCTTCCACATCTTCGTCATGATCCCTAGATGACTTGAAGCAAATTATAAATAAAAGCTGTTATAATTTTTTTTTTTCCCAACAACGGCTTTCTAGTCCTTCGTTTCCATTAAATGTGCTCGACTGAGGATGTTTCCTCAGCAGATTTTGTAGTGAATCGCTGCTGCTACCTCGGCGTTGCTATGAGCCTCCTGGCTTCTTTTATGATTTATGTTTATTCCATTAGGCCTTTCAGTTTAAGTGTACAGCACTGCCCTGGTAGGTTTGTACTGTGAATTTACATTTTAAGAAGGGGAGGACTGCATTTACTAGATAGGTTACTTCTAAAGGAGTGGATGCGATACATGAGCATCGGAGCACAGAGAGGTGAAAATAAATGCAGACTTTAGCTGTAAAAACCGTCATTTTCCTCCCACTTCACAATCATGAGCTGCTTTGTGCTGTTCCGTCACATTTAATCCCAATAAGGGTTTGAGGTTAACAGAATGTAAAAAAAAAAATATATATATATATAAAAAATGGTTCAATGGCACCGAACATTATCTCATGCCCACTGTGTTTTTGTATCGATTCTTGCTGTTTGGGAGCCGTTCAAAAGGAGATGGGTCTGGATGGGGAAAAAACAGGCCTGCTGGTTTCCAAAGCTCACTGAAAGAAACAGGCCAGGCCCACAGCCAGAGAGGTTCGCGGTCTGAATGGATCGGACCTTCACTGCAAATCACAGTTCAATACCACGAAGCGACGTGGTGCAGTTATTTGAGTAAAACCTCCAGATGTTCCATTCAGCAGGGAAGACGGGCTTTGTGACAGTTCAGGCTCTCTCTCCCTCTGCATGTGTGTGTGAGTGGGTGTGTGTCTGTGCATTACGTTCTCAACAACCATCCATCCTTTTTCTCCCATCACTGTAAGAGGGCGCGCTATCAAGCTCCATTGTTTCTATTCAATTAGCCGTCATTACCAACGGCAGTTTGATTACTGAGTTCATTTGGCTGGTGGAGAACAACGGAGGCGGCAAGCTGCCTTTTCATTCGTCCCGCCGCCGATGGCGGGACGAATGAAAACCTAAATGAAGCTATTTTACTGGCGAGAGTTACATGTTGGTGAGGAGCGGGGTCACATCCCGATACGTCCACAATACGATCAGAAGACACAAAACCGCAAGGATGGGATCAAGAGAAACAGTGTGTTCTTTGGAGACCAACAACCTTCGTTGATGCTTGTTAATCGTTAATCACCAAACAATAAGACTGAATTCACAGGACTGACACTAAGAGCTGAGATAGGCATGGGCCACTCCACTCCACAACCGTTTCATTCAATGTGCTGCTGAAATGGAAAGACACGTCTTGAATATTGGCAAACTGTCCACGCCTGTCCAGCTTAGGAATGTAGGACTGTGTTTTAAATAACAGCAATTTAAGCTGAAACACTGAAACAGATAGAAAAATTTACTTTTGTTATTCAGTCATAAAAACAAAGAAAAGAGAAAATTCAGAGTATTGGAAAAAAACAGGAATACCATCACAAGTTTGAATCATTTCTGTACAAACCTGAGAATGTTTGAATATTTAGCTTTTCGTGTGACTCACTAATGTTCAGTTTTATAAGCAGCCGTTTCTGAGAACTGCTCCACATCTGTTTTTCATGGAGTCAACTCCTGGTTCTTGTGAACAGGTATTCCAACCCACAATCCTCCAGAATTCCTCTGAGTTTCTTGGTTTGTGATGCAGAAACAGTGTGTTTTTTTTTCCCAGTAAACCCAAACAATTTCTATTAGACTACAGTCTAAAAACTGGCATGCCCACTCCAAAATGTCAATCTTATACATCTGGAAACAAGACGGTGTGTTTGGGATTGTCAGGGCGTTTTCCTCTTCTGCATATGACAATATGACTTCTTTAAGTATTTTCAGATCCATGATCCCTGACAGGGATCAATACAAGTTCATTAATTTTATTGATCAACAAACGATTAATTGATGTGCGGCCATTTTTTTTTAAAACCTGATGTTTCTCTTGAACTTCTATTTGTTTGAGTAAACTCTTCCAGCATCATTTTTTGGGGGGGCGGCCATTAGCTAGTTCAGTATCTGCGCTTACCTTTGCTGTTCCTGCTTCATTTGGATGGTTTCATCTTCATATCCTTGCCTATCTTCAGCTTTCGATCTTCTTGAGCTCTTTCTCTCCACCTTGTCCTCGTCCTTCTTGCCCTTTCCAAACCTAGAAAAAGAAAAGAAGACTCAGAATCGGATTTATGGGTCAAGGAATCACAGTGAACACACTTTAAGTGTAACTGTAGAAACTTTAGACCAGTTAGTTAAGGCTAGCTAACTAGTAAGGCTGAAAGGTGTTCGTTTTATTCGTCAGACTCAGAAAAGAAACTGTCACTGTAGTGGCTCTGTTTTGCAGATCACACTCTGTATCACCAACCTGAAGGACGGAGGAGGAAGCATGCAGTGTTTTCCAACACAGTATAAATATATTTATGAGGGCAATCTATTTCACTTTATCAGGGAAGTTCAGGTAAAACATTTTGTTGAAAATTAAAGTGTCAAACTGTCAGGGTGTGCAGGCTGTGTTTGTATTGTGAAGACAATCTCGGAGGGCACCAATTCAATACTGAAATAATAATGTGCCTATTCAATATAAAGAGAATCAGAATGCCTCAAGTCGCATAAAGATAACAAAACAGTGATTTTTCCTTTCTTTCTGCACTCCATTTAGTAAAAAAAAAAGTGTGTGTGTTATCAGTAGAAACTTAAGCATAAATAGTACAAACGGTCAAAGTCAGCTTTTCAACAGAAAAGATAAGCTATTTTTTTTTCTTCCTGAGCTTCACCGAGTGATGGGAGCTGTGACAACTCGTGATTTAGACTCAAGCAGGAAGAACAAAATATTTTTGCATCCTGGCAAACTGTAGGGGAAGGAAACTGGCTGCAAACTTTTTACGTTTTAATGAGAAGAACTTGTGATAGGTTGATAGAAAACGGAGGAGAAGGCAAAGTGAGTGGTTTTAATGATTCTCGTGGTAGGAAATTGTTCAGCTCCGGTGGATCTGTGGTCATGATATACATGTCACGGTGAGACGTGTTAGCAAAACTTGACATGGTGGCTGGTCGCCAGGTTCTCACGCATATCAGGAGAGATTTTCACCTACTTCTGTTTACAAAAACTATGAAACCTTTAAGTTGTACTTCTACAGCTCAGTCCACACACTGAGTATAAGACTGAGGCCTATGCTGGCTAGGCCACTCAATGAGGTTACTGGACTTGTTTGTTGCATTGCTATGTTTTGCATTATCAAAGTTAAATATCCATCCAGTACTGATCTTTAGACTTCTGGGTAAAGGAAGAAGTTTATGTTACATGACCTCGATGGTAAACTCCTCCTGTCAAACAGACAAACTACTGTAACGTTTCACCCAAATGGCGTTTATTGGTGAAATGTCTCTTGATCCAAACATGGTTGCTCAAATTAGTGCAAACTGGGTCTCATCTCACCACATCTCCAGTCTGTTCTGAATTATTTAAATGTTCACTGCACTCACTAAGCAGCTTTATTTCACCACTAAATACCTTGTTTTTTTTTTATTTTTAGCCTAGGAATGAGTCTAAAAATACACAACACATAAGCTATAAGTGCACTCGCTGTTAAGTGAAATGTAGGACAATGTGACATAGTTATAGAATTAACCAAACACTCCAATGGAAATAACCCGATACAGTCATCTTCAACGTTTATGGGATAGCTGTGTAGACGGGCAAAAAACGGTAATGCTTCAGTGTGTTAAATTTGAAAAGGACCCAACAGTCTCCACACGTCTCAGGTTTTCAGCGAATTGGTTTGAGAGCTGAGGAGGGTTGAAACTAAATGTGTCCTGCCCTCTGATGACCTGTAAGGATCTAAGAGGGTCAAACCTGCAGAGTGACTCGGACGTATTTAGGTCCTTTGTTGTTCTGTACCTTGTAGAACCATTGCAACCTTTTAAAACAAATCTTTCACAGCAAAAACAGCAAGCAAAAAAACAACAACTGATATATGATCCATTGTCTTGGTACTGCTCAGTGTTGCAGAAGCTTTATAGATAAGATGTGGCTGTATGTAGACTTCCTGCAGAGATCAGTCAAGAAAGCATCATACTAAATAAAACTATGTTCCGGTTTTGTGCATCCTGTTTCGACCTAGATCTCTGCCAGTTAGGTGCTGACCTCTAACCTCACATAATTGAGACCAAAAACTATCAATTATTTAAGTTTGGCTTCTTAAAATTATTCTGGAGAAAATACAGAATAAATGCAGAAACATTATGTGGTCTCATAATGACATAAATATAATTGTGTGTGTCATCAGCATACGTATGCAAACTGATATTGTGATCCGTAATCTGAGGTACGAGGATCGTACAGATATTGAGTCAAAGTGGCTCAAAAAGGGAGCCTTGAGGAACCCCAAATGTAATCTTTGTTCACTCAGATTTTTAATCAAGAAATGACAGGGTTTTAAGCTAAATTAGCAGAGTGCTAGACAATGCCGTCCACTTTTCGAGTCTGTGAATCACCACATCATGATAAAGTTCCATTTGTATAATGTTCATAAGTACTTCCACTTAAATCTGATAGAAAATGCACTACTGACTACAGTTTGTCTTCTCAGTTGTGCTAGCTTCACACAGTCTACCTGATCAGAAGGAAGTTTTGAGATAATCTTCGGCAGAGACTGTGAATGTCACTGGCAGCATATCAATTAAAAGTAAAACAGGGTTTGCTGCTGCTAGCTGTTTGTTGGGGGAGCAGCATCACAGCCAGAGAAACCCACAGACTGTCGAAATGAGGTCATTTCATAAAAGTATTTGAGAACTTTAAGGACAAAGCAGTAGCAGGAAAGGGTGCAGGCATGAGAGCAGGTGGCCACAAGTGGCAAAAAATCCAATAAATATAATCACTGACAAAGATCTGGGTTTTATTGAGCGTTTTTGTTCCACAATGTGCCTCAATGCGCTTTATGTACAGACATTGATTATGATGTTTCACATGGGTTTTTTTTTTTTTTTGGAGTAGTCCCGCTCAATTTTAAGACTGTGAAAGCACTAAGCTCTGCAGTCTCCAGTCCCTGCGGTGGTTAGCTCCAGGTTTATTTTTACCTTCTTCGCAGCAAAGCTTTTCTTGACAGTTTGCAAACTTTCTCTGAAAGCTGAAAAATTACATCAGACAAGATTTGACTTTTAGGCGATGGAAGCAGATATATTCATGGAAAGGGAGGCTGCTTCCCTAATGAATGTTTTTCTTTTCTTTTTTTTTTTTTTTAGTCCTACTTTACATTAAAACAACATGGAACTTGCAAACGGGTTTGGAAGAAACCTATTTGGAATTCCAATGTTTTCTCATTTGCCGCTTTCTTTGCGAAAGCAACGTGTTGCCACCTGTGGTACAGATCATCCGTTCAGATGTCATCAGATTATTTCATAAACAGTAATCTCTTACTAACACAGCCATGTTCGGTAAATTAGAATATGTGTTCAGATGAGAATATTTTGTCAGAATAAAAATATATATTTTTTAAATTGGCAACCTCTAACCAGGTATTAAACAAAGTGGTCATTACGGATACATTTTAAAATGTGCTTTTTATTGGTCTTTTGCAATATTCTCATTTTAAATGTCTTTTTTTTCATTAACTGTAAGTGGAAAATCTGTCTGCGTGTGGTAATGTGGATAATGTGCTTCACTTGGTGATAAAGCTGAAAAAATATCAAAAATACTGTAATTTATTGAATATGTCTGCTTACAGAAGATGACAAATACCTTGCTTGAATGAAGTTTATTAACATTCTGGTGAAATTTTGCTTTTATCTTTTATTTTAGAATTGCCATTCTTCCTCTGAAAGCACAATGAAACCTTACGGGAGCAGAAACTTTAAATCAACTTTTCCTTCCTTTTTTCGTCTGGATCGACGTTAATAAAGTGAGAGATGTCTTTATTGCGAAACATATTAACGGATTAAGCTGAGCAAGACCTTGGGCATGCAGCAGCTCCATATGAAAGGCTATTCCCACATCTATTGTGTCCTGAAAGAGGAACAGATCAAAGCACGAGACCAGGAAGGAGTGAAAAAAGGCAATTTAGGAAATCTGCTGCTTCACTGACAAGGTGAGCCTTTTAACTTTGGTAGTCTGAGTTTTGTCAGTATGAACCATGAGCATCCAAAATATTGCCTACAGATTATGAAACATTTATTATTCCTTCATCTGGATGCATAAAGATTTAAAACGGTGTCAATACAGAAACTGTAGCTATTGCCAACAATAATAATGCTTCAGATGTTTCTACTCCAGTCACTTTAACTGGTATACTTAGGATCCTATGATTTCTGAGCTGCGGAAAATGCAGATGAATCATGGAATTTAATAAACAAAATAGAATCCACAATGAAATGCGGAACCTATATAAGTATTTTTCAATTCTAAAAGGCAGATTTTCTTTCAAGCTAAAAACACGATTTTATGGCTTTTAGCATGAAAACTAAGAATGTTTGGGTTCTTCAAACAAACCCAAACATTCAGTTTTTTATTATGCTTTGGTCAGCAAAAATCAATAATAAAACTGTCATTTGCACCATAATAAGGGTTAATAAGTATGGTGAAATGCAATTCAGAAAAAAAATGCAATTCAGAAAAATTTAAGTGGAATTTGGGAGAAAAATTAAATGGAATTCACGGGGCCTTATATACTTTTTGGGGCCTTTTTGAATATGAACTTAATGCTGCTGCCGCGATGCTTGGCCGGTTTTGGAACAGAAAAAGCAAGCCAGCATTAAAAAGCTTTCAAAATAACCCCATCCCTCAGGAAATAATAAAGTATTATTATCTCTTATATATCTTATCTATATGTGAGCCAGTATGGATCTTTTTGAAAATCTGTGGGTTCATAAAAAGCCATATTCCCAATTCTCTTTTGTACTAATAATTGATGTTATTGTATAATCATTTCATATGAAAAAAAAAAAAAAAAAAAAAAACTCCAAACACTTCTGAATATTAATGGCCCAAAATTAACATAAGATTCATGGGTACATTTGTAAACTCATCTGTGACGCTGTATGTGTTGAACACATTTTACAAGACAAATTATGATCAAACGTATTCAATTCAAGATACTCAATCTTAATTTCCTGAGTATTACATCAATTATGTTTTTTTTTTTTTTTGTTTTCCAATAAAAT